CCCGACCCTCCATTTTCTATACTGTGTAGCCTAAGCAAACTGAGAAACTCAAATTTATATACCTGAAAGTGGCTAAATTTTAAATGACTTTATGATTTAGTTAAATGTTAAATACACTTTTTATTAAAAAGCCAATCAACTCCATTATGCCCAGAAATTCACATAAACCCTTAATAATATTTTTTACTGCAAAAGAATATTTTATAAAGCTGTCTTACCTACATTTGTTAATTTCTGTGTGCCCAAATTTAAATCCGCAGGTTTTAGGGTCCTAGTAAAAGGGATCAAATCCTTCTTCTATCTGTTGCTCATTAGTTAGATGACTTGGACCTAGTAACATGACCTCAGGTAACCTTGGTTTTCTCATATTTATAGTAGAAGAGAAACAGTGCATAGTTCGCAGGGTTAAGTTGTCCCACAGATATAGAAGCATTTCATTTAGCATCTGCTGTGTTCAAAGTGTGCCGAGTTAGTAGGAGCTGTGGTATACATGTCCTCATCAGACTCTGTCCAGAGCTGTTCAGCCTGGATCATGGCAGGAGCCACAAGTCAGAGGACAGGACATTTCCAACCACTGTTATATCCTCTTACAATGAACAAACTCTTTTTATTCATCTTCCACTTCCAGGGACTTCATGCAGCTTATTTTTGTCACTGTTACTTCTAATAATTATCTGTCTTCTTAGTTGCATCCCACTATTTCAAAGAATAATTTTATTTTGAAAGAATTTAACAGAAATTTTGACTCTAATGAGCTCTTCAAGTCAGAAAAATCCTGTCTTAATGACTGTATTGTGGAAAACCTTTTAGAAGCAAGCCAAAGACAATTCAACACTTTAATTCTGGGTGTGAAAGCATGACGAAGGTGGCAGCTGTACCTAATAACTTATGTCCCTGCACAGTGGTGCCTCATAGTGACAAAGGAACCATACAAATGCATTTTGATAATTTAGTAATAACACATGCTTCTGTTATTAGTAGTACTAATTTGGTCAAGCAGACGAGGCAGAGGAAACTATATAAATTGTCAGTTGTTTTTCTGAATTGAGTCCTCAATATTTTGAAGAAAACATTGTTTTTCTTGACAAGTGGTAACAAGGTTCAAGACTCTCTGTTATCTAGTGAATTTTTAATAGAGAAAGTCAAAGAACTTTTAGAACTTTTGAACTTTTCTCTTGTAGAATGTGTCATTTCAAAAGTGTCTCAGGGATTAGAAGCAAAGCTCAGCAGTTAAGAATCCACACTGCTCTTATTGAAAACTAGAGTTTGATTCCCAGTACCTTCATTGGGCAGTTCACAACCAACTATATCTCCAGCTCCATGTGATCTGGTGCCCTCTTCTGACCTCCATGAGCAGCTGCACTCATGTGCACATACACATAATTAAAAATGAAACTAATCTTTAAAATCAAAGGTATGATCTTGCTTTTCAGAGCCCACTATCCATGGGAAGACACCTTACATAGCCTTGATGCAGGGGGAGGGGCTTGGACCTGTCTCAACTGAATGTAGCAGGTTCTGCTGACTTCCCATGGGAGGCCTTACCTTGTCAGAGGAGGGAATGGGGGATGAGTTGGAGTAGAAAAGGCTGGGGGTGGGGTGGGAGGAAGGAAGAGAGGGAGATCTGTGGTTGGCATATAAAATAAATAAAAATTTTCTTAATTAAAAAGATAAAATAAAAGGTATTTAGTCAATCTGATTGCTATAACACATACATTACAGATCAAGTGGTTTATGCATAATGAAAATTTCATGGTCCTCAAGGCTGTCAAGCAAATTTGGTCCTGCTGACCTTCTTCCTTATCCTAACCATAGTCATATGATTGCACTCAGAGAAGAGCAGGATTTCTCTGGAGTCTCTTTTATAGGAGCACTAAGTTTCCTGAAGGCACCTCCTTTATTACCTAATCACCACTGAGGCCAACTTACCTTAATACCATAACTGCAGAGTTTTAGAGTTTCAACATATGAATTAGGAAGGGACAAAATATTCACACAATTGCTGATTTTTAATGTGTTGCTCATTGCTAATTGTCTCTGGATATATATATATATATATATACACACATATCCTTTTTCCTCTGCAAGCACTGCATTTGGAGCACAAACATAGTTAAAGGCAAAATTCTCAAACATATAAAACATAAAAAGTCCTTTAAGAAATATATATTTAAAAAAAAATCTGTTTCCAGGTTAATTTTAGTTGAGTGAATTGCCAAGCATAAACATGAACCAAAAATCTCTCTCCTTTTCCATTATTCAGCTACCAAGGATGAATCTTTCAGTCCGTAACTGTACCTTGAGATTATCCTCTCCTCAGTCATCCTTTGTCCTTATTCAGTAGTAGAATCAGTCCCTTACCTACGTAGGATCCAGAGAAATGACGAAAGCAGAGGATGGTAGAATCTTGAATGACTGGAGGTCAGGTGTCCTCAGCATGGCGTAACTGTTAAAAAGAGTAACCCTGCCTTGCATGGAACTAAGAAAACAAATGGAAACGGGTGAAACTTGCACACTCTGAATTCACAGCCATCGTTTCCAGCTTTGTCACTGTTTACATACCATGCCAATGGTTCCTGCCTTGGGCTCCATGTGTGAGCAATCCAAATCCATTTTCTGTATTGGCACCAGAATGGTGTTTTCAGGAGTGCAGTAAAATTTGGACGACCATCCCTTTTAAAAGACGACGTTCTGACCAAATCACCGCATTGTAGACTGTAAAATACAGAAGTCAAAACTCACATTAAGTCCATGACATATACGTGCGCTTCTTGGATCTCTCCTTTCTATTTCAGTCTCACTGCTCACCACTGGCCCTCCCCGTGTGTTACTCTTCAGAGATACAGAATGGCATGCCTCTGGCCAAGTGCACATGTTAATTAGTCTCAATTACTTCTTGTCTTTGCCCACAGTCTTTCTCTCCAAGCCTTAGCCAGCTCTGGGTACCTCTCTCAGTTTTCTCCCCTCATGTATACTTACTTGCCAGACTGTTCCTCAGGATACAGCTTTCTTAAATGCCCTACATGTTCTTTGCCATATGCATCCATTTTTATTTATTTATTCCCACTTTAGTAATTCACCTTGTCTTTTTTTTAATATGCAGACCTTAATTTGCTTCTTTTTTTTTTTTACCTCCCCAGCATCTAGCACAGTGTACAGAACATAATGTGTGCTATGTGTACATGTAGTTCTAAGTATCAGCATATTGACAAAATGTTTGCTATGTCCTGATCTGTAGGCAGTAATAAAGGAAATGATTTTTTTTTTATGAACATTTCTTAAAAGGATGGACTTATTTGGAAGGATGTAAAAATACATCATTTCCAAGGCAATAAGCTTATTTAATTCTGATCCTCTAAGTCCTGAAAGAATTGTATGTTCTCGGATTTACCTTATTTTTGGAATATATTTTGGAATACCTTTTGTCCTAAAACAGCACTATTTGGGAAAGAGGGCAAAAATCCCATAAATACCATTGTGAGTTGATTTCAGAAAGCACCAATAAATGTGGTGTCACCTAGCTGTTGACTGATTGGACCATATCAGACGGTATCTCCACCGGTTGTGTTTGAGAGGCATTTCTGTGGAGGCTGGCTCCGGAAGCTGAGTGAAGCAATCTTCTCTTTACACTACACCGGGTATATAGTTCATAATGTTTTGACCTATATGATTTATGTGTCTGTTTTCCACAGCTTTTGTTTTGATATCAGGAGCCATTAATCCTTCACAACTGTGCAGTTGTGATGCTAACTGCCAAGAGCAATGATTTGTAATTGGAATGAGAATGTGCTTCAGCCCTTTTATTATAATTCTGATATGCTTTTGAATGACCACATTTTACAGCTGAAAAAAAAATCAAATATACTATTTACCTGAATTCCTCAGTAAAAAACATGTTCACTCTTACCTAATCTGAGTTTTCTTACCTTGCCTTTAGGTAAACTTTGTATATAAGGTATACCAACATTTATCTTCCTCCTTGCTAAAATTTAACAATAAAAAATTATTATTTCTGTGGATCAACAGTCTTATAGATTTGTATAGAGATTAACCTTTTTTGTATGATGAAAAATAACAAGCTTTCTCTCCCAACACCCCACCTCATTAGCAATCAGCAATAAATTTTATTTTTAATTTCTCTGTGTGGTTTTATGAAGATAGCATATTAAAGGCTAATTTGTGGGTCATTATAAACTATGTACTCTGACTTGTGAGTTCCTATAATGACAACTAATGTCATAGCAGCCCTTTATTTAAAATTAGACTCTCATGAACCCCTAGGGTATCCTTTATTCTGTGCATAATGAGTAAAAATAATATAATTCTTCAGCCTTGAGAGAATCTATGCAAATGACTTTGGTGCCATCAAACCATGAATGAAAGACTTTTTAGTTATGGGGAGCTGTGTTTGTTTGGAGTGACTGTGTAGTATCAAGATGACACTAAGCAAAAACCAGAGAGAAGAAAATGATGAGTGGTATGTAGGCCAGTAGTGCAAGGATGTGTTAGCTTATCTTCTAGGACACCTGCACACCTCACTAATGAAAATGTTTGCAAAAGGATATCAAGTCCCCGAGGAAACCAGGCAAACATTTAGCCCAATTTTAGGTAACTCATTCTTCTTTAGAGGAACTCAGGAGTAAAAGCCCAAAACTTAATCTGTGGTTTGCCACCGCCCCACAACAATTTTTTTTATATTTTTAAACGTGTTCCAGGATTCTGCCTTCGCTTTGAGAAATGAAGTATCCCTTTTTATTTATTTATTTTTTATTTATTTATTTGGTTTTTCAAGACAGGGTTTCTCTGTGTAGCTTTGCGCCTTTCCTGGAACTCACTCTGTAGACCAGGCTGGCCTCGAACTCACAGAGATCCGCCTGGCTCTGCCTCCCGAGTGCTGGGATTAAAGGCGTGCGCCACCACCGCCCGGCGTATCCCTTTTTATAAGATGAAGAACTTCAACACCGAGTGACTCCCTTTGTGGAACTTGATTTATTTTTCAGGGAATGATGTACCTGGAAGAAAGACGCCTTGTTCATCGGGATCTGGCAGCCCGTAATGTCTTAGTAAAATCCCCAAACCATGTGAAAATCACAGACTTTGGACTAGCCCGACTCTTGGAAGGAGACGAAAAGGAATACAGTGCTGATGGTGGTAAGGTAGGTGGAGTTGAGAGCAACATCTCTTGAAAATGTAGTAAGGTAATTCTTTATCTCTAATAATAACAATGGTGTGATACTTCTTTATCTCTAACAATGGTGTGATACTTCTTCTGTTTTTGTTTTTGTTTTGTTGTTTGTTTTGTTTTTTTCAAGACAGGGTTTCTCCGTGAAATTCTGGTGCCTTTCCTGGATCTTGCTCTGTAGACCAGGCTGGCCTCAAAATCACAGAGATCCGTCTGGCTCTGCCTCCCGAGTGCTAGGATTAAAGGCGCGTGCCACCGCCACCTGGCGATGTGATGATTCTTAGAGACTCAGAATATGAACCTTTAACAGAGGGCTGTAAAAATTGTCCCATTGATTCTGAGATTATAGAACTACTACATAAGACAGATTTTTTTTTATGTACTGAGAAGCTTAGGTACTACCAACAATCATAATATATTTGAAATCTGACCATTCTCATTTCTAATCTCCCTAGCACCAAAAATGATACCTGGCAATTACCAAGTATAGTTAGCTAATTTTTCTAACCCCCAAACTCGTGTTCTGCCTGACAAATGTGTTTCTGCATGTCACCATCACTATATGGTTCACCCATATTGTAGTTACAAGACATTTTTTTACTGATTAATCCATATTCTTGGCTAATTAATTAGAGAAATTTGTATGTGAATATCCATCTTGCTTGACTTGAAGAAACCTATGTCAGAGCAGGTCAATGATGCAAACCCATGAAATCCTAACCTCTAGTGACCTATGAAGCTCTGATAAAGAAAGGTTGTTTACATACATGAATCTGTTAATTATGTACCTTACTTTTCGATCACAAGTAAATATTTGCAATAATAGGCTTCTAAAAACTAACATTGATTCACCCTAGACCTTTTCATATTCTATATTCATATGTCTACCTTTACATATGTCTATATTTAAATCCTACCACAAAGTAAGATAACATAATTTTATAAAATAAAAAAATTTCAGTTTTGAGAAATTATCTGATCTTTTCCCGATCTTATCAGCCTATTTCGTCTGTTTACTACCAAACTACAGTGGTTTAAAGTCACAGCTCTAAAGTTCTCAACAAGATTTCTCAGAAATAGCAGTCCATAAATCACATGACTTCACCTGTCTTAAGAACATACAACTGTAAGGTTTGTCTAAAGCAAGATTCATTATAGCTTTAAATGCCTGGTCACCATTAAGTCTTTATCAAGCCACCTATGATTTAAACTCACTTCTCTAACACGGTGTCCATAGTCCATAAAACCTGCTAACTCCTTGCCCATAGGGAAATTACTTTCAATGTGTCTTCTGTTCCTTTTCACTGAATCCCATGATTCTGTCATAGAGTTACCTTGGTGTCACCTTGGTGAGCAGCCAACCTCATGATTTCAAATGCCTATTTAGTTTTAAGCTTTCAACTGCAAAGTAGAAATGTTTATCTTTATTCCATAGAATCTAATTATATCCCAAGCTCCATAATGCTGCCCTTTGAGTTGAAACACATTCTGCTGACCCATCATCCACAGGCTATGTGGGTTGAGTTGTTTTTCTTGTAGTGATGATGGATTTGTGCTGATCCTCTCACATTCTTTTATAGTCCTAGCTCCTATTTTGAAAACGGTACATATTTTCAATTCTGGCTAGCCCAGGCAAAGGAGATCATTTGCAGCTAGGAGACAAAGCAAATCTAACTATGGAATTCATGATTTTAGACAATTTAGTGACCAGAAGAGGAAGTGAGGGCAGCTGAAGAAGAAATTCATTACATCTGTGGTCAAAAATATATCTGAGGAAGAAATGAAATCACTGAGAATGGAGGACTCTGAGAAAACATAATATACAAACATTTTTACATTTGATATTGTCAGTCATAATACTAGCTCATAATTTAGATGCTAGACATTAAGAAATGTATAAAGCTGTTGAGATGTTTAATTTTCTTTGTGTTTATGAAGCTTTAAAATATATTCTTTGGTTAATTTACTTTGTAGATTTTATGAATTTTACTTCATTTGTTCCCTATCTTGAAAAACAACTGGTTTATAGCTATATACACACCATCAAAAAATATAATTGAGGTCAGTCCAGAGGCTAGCATTTAGAAAATATAAAAATGATTCCTTGTATGATTTTTAATAATTCACTTTTTATTTTTCTATAGATGCCAATTAAATGGATGGCTCTGGAATGTATACATTATAGAAAATTCACTCATCAAAGTGATGTTTGGAGCTATGGTAAATAAATCTTTATAAATTTGGCCTTTTAAAGAAAAATGTGTTTGCTTCATACAATATATATAAGGTCATATTTTGGCAGTATTGGAAGTGCTTACTTATAAGCTTGACTCCCTAAAGGATTTAACTCTTTGGTCTTTAATTTAAAAAGCTAAATAGCCCAAATCACAATTTTATCTCTCTTCTTGTGATTTTTTTTCTGCTCTTTTAAATGTAAAATATATAATATCACTGCTAGGTTTTTTGCTATAAGCTTTGGTTTGGCACAATTTGTCTCCTGATTTATTCAAGCATAAACACAATAACTGGCCAATGTTAGAAACAATTTCTTAGACTCTCATGGCCTTAATTTTCAGCAACTCTTTGGTCATATAACTCTGAAAGTGATAAATGTTAAAGGGTAAAGCGAAACAAAAACCATATTTTTGTTTGTCTGTTTTTTTGCTTAAAGGAATATGTGTTCTATGGTAGAAAACACAGTGGTTACTGGGGCAACAACAAGCAACTAATAAACACAGTCAAGTGCCTGTGAAAGCAGTGATGAGAGAACACTGCCAATTGTAGATTTGATTTTCATTTACAAACTACATTTAGAATGACAGAGCAAGATTAATATTTGCGATTAGAACGTTATTTTCATTACATTGAACTCAGTTGTGGAAGTGAGCTAGTTAGCAACTTGTCTGTGCTTACAACTTTGTCCACTTACAACTTAACTAGAAAGGATCAATTTTGTGTCTATATTTAAATATAGCACATACAACTAGTATTAATCACTAATAAAAGCACAATGCCTCTGGGCCTGTAAGATGGCTCTGAAAGTAAAGGAGCTTACTTCCAAGCCTTATGGTGTGAGTTCCATCCGCAGAACCCACACGTGGTGGAAGGAGAACACCAAGTCTTTCAATTTGTCCTCAGATTTCCTCTCATATCCTGTTGTGCAGACCCCCACATTACACACACAATAAATAAATTTATGTAAAAGAAGAAAATAGAAAAACAATATAATCCCTGGTATGATGATTAGTGTTAATTTTCAACTTGATAGTGTCTAGAATCACCTGGGAGATTTGCTCTAGGCATCACTATCACTATGGGATACCATCTTGAACATGAAAATTGAGACAGGAAGACCGGCCTGCTGTGGGTAGAATCATTCTCCAGGCAAGAGATCCTACACTACATAAAGTGGACAAAGTGAGCTACATTAGTATTCATACATTCATACCTCCTTGTTTCCTGATTGTGGATGTGGCATGATCAACTGCTTCAAGCTCCTGCTGTTCTGACCTTTTCACTACTGTAAATTATTGCCTGAACTGTGGGCCAAAATAACCCTCCTCCCCACAAGTTTCTTTAGTCAGAGTATTTTATCACAGAAATAGGAAACGAAACTAAGACAGTAATTGGTACCAAGAAATGGAGCTTTTGTTGACCTCATGGTTCTTAGGCCTTTGGAACTGGTTCTGTTGTTGTTACTTTGTCTTGTTTTGCTTTTTTGTGGGGAGGAGTGTGGAAGAGTTTAGAAATTCGGGCTAGAAAAGTCCTTGAATGCTCTAAGAGATTGATGGGCCATTCTGGTAGGAGCCTGGAAGACAGTAATGATGAGAAGAACGTAGATGGCTGAAGCCTGCATCAAGGCTGTTGCAGAAGGGAACAATGAAGGGAAAGAAGCCATTCATGTGCTGTTTAGACCAAGAATCTGTCTTTATTCTGCCTGTTTTTTGAGAAATTGAGTGACGCTGACTTGAGAGATGATGGAGTACTTTATTTGGCAGAGAATATTTTAGGACAGGGGATCATTCAGGATGTTACTGTGATTGTTAAACATCCAGGTACCACTGAAGAGAAGACACCTGCGCTAACTTAGAACAATGGTTGGGGTGTCCTGAGAGTGAAACCCCACTCATCAGAGATTCCAACTAGAGAGGATCCAAATTTATTTCAAGGAAGAAAGCCTAAACTGGAGGGGTTCCCTGTTTCTTGGAAGCGCCTGACTAGAAAAGTTCCCCCAGGGTCAGCACACAAAAGTAGATGAAGCTGTGTTTCTGTAGGTCCAAGCTCTATCTCAAGCTGATGACAGAGCTTGGCAGTGTCACCTACATGGTATGGTTTTAAAGGCATGATGGCAACGGAATTGAGGAGGCCATGGAGAACAGCCGAGGCTCAGAGATGTACAGCAGAGTTAGAGTCCAAGAGAGGCAAAGCTGTGAAGGTGATACCTCAATTGCTATGGTGACTCTGGTATATCCAAGATGCCAGGACCATGGGACAAGTACCAGCGTGGGGTCCAGACATGGAATGGATCCGGCTCAGGACAGAATCTATGCTGAAGTCCGCAGAAAGGAAGTTGTGAGAGGTGTGGCTACTCAAGCCTTTTGAAACCAAGTTGATTACATGATCAGATCTAGATGCCAGATATGGAGCTTCAGGATTTCATGTTTCTTGTTTTGCTTTGGCATAGTTTTTTGTTTGTTTGTTTTTTCATGCTGTGCTCCAATTCTTCCATTTTGGATTAAGCATATTTACTCTGTGCCATTATATGTTGGAAGTATACAAACTTTTGATTTTTAGTAAGAGCTCACAGTTTCACAGTTAAGAAACTTTTGAACTTTTAAAGTTTTGGAATTGTTGAAGACTATAGGGACTTTAAGGTTGAACCAAATACATTTTACTTTATAAAATCGTCAAGAGGACATAGGGACAAAGAGTGAAAAGTTACGGCTTAAAATTGATGTGTTCAGGTTTCAAATTGACAAAGGGTGGAGTTGTAATGGTTAGTGTTCCTAGTCAATCTAACAGAATATGGAATTACCTGGGAGATGAACTTCTGGGCATGGCTATGGGAATTATTTTGAGTATATTCTTTGAAGTGGGAAGACTGACCCACTGAGAGATGGACTATTCCATAGACAAGGTTTCTTGGACTGTATGAAGTGGAGAGAGCAGCCTGAGCACTGCTGCGCATATACATTCATCCCTCTCTATTGCCAAATTGTGGATGTGGTGTAGCCAGCTGCTATCAGCTCCTGCTGATGATGAGTTGAAACTTCTACAGGCTGTTCAGTAGACATTAGCTGTAGCTAGAGTTTTCTCTCCGGGTCCCACCAAGCCCATGCAGTCTGACAGCCCACTTATAAAATAAACACACAGATGCTTATATTGCTTCCAAACTGTATGGCCATAGCAGGCTTCTTGCTAACTGTTCTTATATCTTAAAATAACCCATTTCTATTAATCTGTAAGTTGCCACCTGGCTTGTGACTTACTGGTATCTTAACATGTTGCTTCTCCTCACGGTGGCTGGCAGTGTCTCTCCGCCTCAGCCTCCACTTCCCAGAATTCTCTTCCTTGCTGGTCCTGCCTATACTTCCTGTCTGGCTACTGGCCAATCAGCATTTGATTTATACAGAGCGATATCCACAGCAATTAACAAATTGATAGATAATGCTGTTTTCAGGCACAGCCTTGGTCTCAGCATCTTTTCATAAGGCAACTTGATATTATTATGATATACCATAGTTGATTGCAAGAGGCATGAGTGGCAGAAAATGCTACATATCCTTGCTTATAATATTTTTATGATAAAAATTATCACTGGCTGCATTTTTTATGTGTACAGAATATTCATCAGTTCTAATATATCTTAAAGATGATGAAATTGTAATGTAAGTTTTCTTATGTTTCTCATATAGTCTGTCTGAGATTGCTCTTTATACCTAAAGCTATCCTGTGCCACCACTCCAGAAAGAGTAACTACATTATTAGAAGCAGGAATTTGGGCATTTTACCCTTTGGTTTTGTATTTATCAACATTGCATTTCATAATATTTTATTGTTTTAATATATAATGGTTTTTAGATTTGCTTATTTTGGAAGCTTTGATACAAATTTAAAAATACCTATGTTGTCTTTAGCAACAACAAACATGGGTACAATAAAATGTTTCCTTTGTGTGAATGTCCTGTGTGTGTATGAATGTATGTATGTATGTATGTATGTATGTATGTATGTATGTATATAAATGTATGTATGTATATAATACTGTGGTTGACTTGCTTAAAAAAAGTGATCACCATTTTTGCTAGCCTTCCATTGAAGTGTAAACAATGACTCTCTTGAGCAACCAGCTCTTGATATAAAAAAAAATAAGGATTTAGGAAATGTCAAACTGCTGAAATATGTCACTAGTTGGACATGCATGTGACAATAAAAATTATAGAATGCAAATATTAAAATATTCCAATAAGTGTTAGTGATTCTATTTTGAAGGGCAGTTTGAAGTTTACATATATATGTATTTTTTTTCAGGCAGTGATGACTGACATACAACGGATTTAAAAAAATGAGCATTACAGAGATATTCAGAAAACATAGCCCCAATTAATGGATCTTATACTAAAATAAATCTATATATGCATCAATCAGGACTCATATTGTAATACTATCATGCTTACATAGCTATTTCTATTCTAAAAGTGTTCTGCCCTAAGGATAAGGCTCAATGATAGAGAATTTACCTAGTATAGTAAAGAAGTAATCTTTAGTATACGGCTGCTTTTTTTTCTTGGTTTTGCCTCTGATTTTATTATCTCTGTCAGTGCTCTAGTGGTTCAAAATGATATATCATTAGCTTAGAAATAAGCTGTTCATTTTTTCTTCATTTCTCATTTCTATGGATACCCATTCCTATGTTATTCTGTCTTCCATATGGATTGATCCTCATGCAGACTCTTGTATGTGCTAAGTAAATTTTTATTCCCCTTGTTTTCTTTGTGTTAGCTGAACAGTGAGCCACAGACTTGGCAGTAACAACATACACTTGTAACATTCTGCAGCTACCAGCTCAGCCTTTGATGGCTTTTCCCACCAAAAGGCTAATTTAAAAATTTATCCATGTCTGACTTTTCCTGAGATCATATTTATTTTATATTGAATACATGTATACAATAAAGGAATTGTATTTTGGGTTTTAATGTATGTGAAGCAATTTTCATCAGTAAGCATTTAGCATTACCTGTAGGTACAAAGGAGGAGCTTATTTTAATTTCTGGTATCTGCTCTAAAATTTTCCTGTGATGGATTAAAAACTTCAAGACAATCATAAGAGAATTCTTACTGTGAATTGCCCCAGGAGGGTTTAGCATTGGAATTGTTGAAGTGAGTGAAAGATTGTGAAGGAGTTTCCTTTAAGTTTCTATTATTTGCTTTTTAAAGAGCAGTTTTATATGTGCTCATTCAAAATTGTAATGGTGATTTGCTTATATATGAATTTTATTTACAATTAGGTGTCACAATATGGGAACTGATGACCTTTGGAGGAAAACCCTACGATGGAATTCCAACCCGAGAAATCCCGGATTTATTAGAGAAAGGAGAGCGTTTGCCTCAACCTCCCATCTGTACTATTGACGTTTACATGGTCATGGTCAAATGTAAGGCTGGAAAATAATTTTACCACCTGCATCATCATTCTTAATACAATAACACTTTAGATTGTTTTAGGTGCAAAATGTTTCTCTACATTGAAAAACACAGCAGCGAGAATACTTATGAATGCAGAATATAAGTACCTGTTTGTTGTGATTATTATTATGAAATGATAGCATGCTTCCAAGCTACAAAGTAAAAATTATTATCTAATTTTTATAATTTCCATGCCCATCAAAGTTTGTCATAAAGAGAGATAATAATTCATAAGAATGTTAGTAATAATACTAATGTTAATCTTTATGGGAAAATAGCTCAACATCACTGATAGTCTAAAACTGAATTAATTGGATATAGGTTTAATCAAAAATAAATTAGCAGAGCAGGTTGGGAATCAGAAGAGACAAATCTGCATTGGAGTAAAGATTATAGTGTTTACCTTTTTCAATTTGATCATTTGTTTACATCAAATGTTCTTACTTTTCTTTCCACTCCTATACCCCAGACACATATGTATTATAAATGTGTTTTGGAAGCCTAGACCCTTAATTTTAATAGAATTAAATAAGTCCCTGGGGTTCCTGACTTAATTTAAGTGAGATTAACAGGCAGCCATCTCTCTTGTATAATCTTAGGTTTTTCCAGTTTTGATTTACACAGAGTTAAAGCAAGACGCAATGTGGTGAAGGTGAATAAGCATTTTATTAATAAGAGACTCGGAGACTCTGGGCCCAGGTCTTTTCATATTTATATTCATGACATGTGTGATCCATTCTGACAGGAAGGGAAGAAATAAAAAATGTTCCTTGCAGTGCGGGTCAGCATGCCCTTTTCTCTAAGCACAGTCCTATTTACTCAATATTTAGTTAGAGAGAAACAAATATCTCACTGTGAAGTTAACCTTTTTTGGCTCCAGCAGCTTCGTCATTAGCATCTTGGCATTAACAAGCGTTTTTGGCTATGAATACCCATAAGATGCGGAGTGCCTGAGCTTAGGAGAGGTGACACAAAAGATGCATAAGATGATACCCAAAGGATCTCCAGAACAGGAACAAGAATTAACTCTTTAGAAATAGCCAAAAATCAAAATAAAAAAAGAGCCCTAGCTATACTTGATCGGGCCTTGTTTACTCAATGTCCTGAAGAGAGCTTAAAAACATTCATGGCTTGTATGATAATTTGATACCATAACCAGCATCAGATGTGATTTGAGTTCCACAATGTGATGACGGAAAGACAGGCAAGTGTTTTGCCTTATTAGGCAAGCCATATTGAGAGTTTCACCCTTTCCCCTGGAGATTTTATGCTTTAAAAAGGGATCATTTGGCAAGGAAATTAGAGAAAGCTTGGTGCTGTTGCTATTCTAGTCATCTCATCAGCTCAACGGAGGATAGACAGTCAAGATCTGCTTTATCTAAACTCCCCGCTAAAGAATACTACCCACCGGAAAACTGGTCTTTTTATTCTGGGAAAGCTGATATGAAGATAAGCTAATGGGTGTTGCTGAACCCACATTACAAATCATTTTGCATTTTCCTTCTAACCGGGAGCAAACTGGCAAAAAGCAGTTGCTTTCCATTTCCCTATCAACTTTTTGTGCCACAGTACTGTAAGGACAGCCAAATATTTTCTACCATGTATTCTTTTTTTTTCAGTCTATTTATTTTTATTTACATTGGTGTTTACCCACATGTATATCTGTGTGAGGGTGTCAGATCTTGGAGTTACAGACAGTTGTAAGCTGCCATATGGCTGCTGAGAATTGAACCTGGGTCCTCTGGAAGAGCCATCAATGAGTGCTCTTAACCACTAAGCTATCCTTCCAGCCCCTCTACCAAGTATTCTCTACATAAACCTTCACATTCTATCTCAATTACCTTGTCTATAACCATCAAAGAATGTATTAAAAACATTATCTCTCCATTCCAAAACAAGAACAACAGAATCTGAGGGTCTAACATTTCCCATAGTTAGCTTGGGATCTATTTTTCAAGGACAAGAATTAAGTTTGAATGGGATCAATAAAATGAAAATTGGGGATCCCATAGAGAAGGCTCAGCAGTTAAGAGCTTGTGCTGCTCTTGCACAGGACTCAAGTTGGGCTGTCAGCACCTAAGTCGGGCAGCTAATGACTACCTGTAACTCTAGTTCCAGGTTGATCCGATGCCCTTTCCTGGCTTCTATGGAGGCCTGCACTCATGTGCACATATCTAGACGTAGACACATAATTAAAAATAAACTAAATTTTTAAAATTTTGCCTTTACTGTTATAGTATATTGCATTCTGTGATGAATGACAATTTACTGAGGTAGAGCCTTACCTAATTGTCTTGCTTCTTTCACTGAATTTTTGGCAGGTTATTGTTAAAACGATACCTTTTGCATTTTGCCTGTACTTTTTCAAAATTTCAATGTCACTTTCTCCAAGCGTGGGTACACTAAAATTTTCCTCTGCGTTAATTGACAGGTTGGATGATCGATGCTGACAGCAGGCCTAAATTCAAGGAACTGGCTGCTGAATTTTCAAGGATGGCTAGAGACCCTCAAAGATACCTGGTCATTCAGGTTAGTCGTTTTGACTTTGCTGAAAACATCCAATCATCACGTGACCACGTGAAACAACTTAGGAACTAGTGGATCTGAACATGGTTCTATTAACTGAGACAAAGCAGGCTGGAAGAGGCAAATACTACATGTTCTCTCTCATATGCATATCCTACATATATATGTTTATATATATGTAGATACATATATATGTAAACATATGTATATATGGTATAGGTCACAAAACTAGAAAGGAACCATGAGAAAGGAAAAAAGGTTTTAAGGGAAACGTAATTGGGGACAGGAAGGTAATAGAATACATATGGACATAGAAGTAGAAAGACTACTTGGAAAAGGAAGGGCATGAGCATCCAGGTGAGAGGGGTGAAGAGGATTATACACAAAAGCAAAGTATGAATGCAAATGCAATAACAAGTCCATTAATTTGTATGCTCATTTTAGAATTATATATGGATTCTTTTATTGGGGAGTGTATAGTATTCAAGCAATAACTCAATTTAAATGAATTGATGATTATTTAAATGAAAGAACAGACCAAAAGAACATTCTTCCAATCAACACTAGGAATCAAATAGATTGGATCATTTAATTATTGTAATAATTTCCCTGTTGTTATTTTCACCTAAAGCCTATGCAGTTATACCTTGAATATTCTTGATTATCTTCCTTCACTGAAAGGAACCTTTACCTTCAAGTAGACTAACATGAAGACAAAAGCCAGACTTTAGGAGATTGTAATTTTCAGTCATTTTCCCCACAAGTTAACTTTCACTAACTGAAGTTGTTTACCAAATATGACAAACTTTTGGAAAAGCAAAAAATACTTAAGAAATGATAAGTTGAACAGAGTTTAGCAGAGGTTTCATATCTCTTCCAAACTCACATGTTCTCCATGTCATTGTACAATTTTTGAATGCCATCACTTTGACTAGGCTGCCGTTATACTATAAGACAAACCATGAGTGTCTATGTCCTGACTCTGTAGCATCAGTGCAACCATATTAAAAAAGCTAATGTCAATGGCCTCTTATTGTCTATTCTTAACCAGGCACCTCCTTAGCAGTGAACTGATATTCTCAGATCTGAAGTGGATTTTGCCACCCTTGAAGCATGCACATCACCTGCCCTCATGCCTTTTTATTGTAGTTGTTATATTTATCACATTCTTCTTGTATTCCAATTCTTACCTTTTAATATCTAACCACAGTATGGGATTCTTTTTCACTGGTAGTTAAGCTAAAGATGTTTTTTAATGAGCACATGGATTCTCTAGCTGTTTCTTTTTCTATTATATAAACTTACTATCGAAACCACGTTATGAAGGAAAGAATAATGATCTGTGCATATCTATGGGCAATCTTTCAGGGTGATGATCGTATGAAGCTTCCCAGTCCAAATGACAGCAAATTCTTCCAGAATCTTTTGGATGAAGAGGATTTGGAAGATATGATGGATGCTGAGGAATATTTGGTCCCCCAGGCTTTCAACATCCCTCCTCCAATCTACACGTCCAGAGCAAGAATTGACTCTAATAGGGTAAGAAGTAATTATACACAAGTACCATGCTATTTCTGAGAAATAATTTTGTATTGTAAGCATTAAAATTTCCAAATAACTATACATCTAACTATTGCAATTTCTATATTAAAAGTACACTGTACCCACAAACTATATGCCAAGCTCAAAATAGATAGAGTTAACTGAAAATTATGCATGGAAAATGTAATACGTACTCTGAGATATCACCATTTCAAAATAAGTCATCTAAATTAAACAAATTTTAATTGCTAAGAACCAAACTAATAAAACTTCAAACAGTAATGAAAATTCTTACCAATTAGTCTTTTACTGTTCTTTGTTTAAAATATTATAGCATGCCATATTAATCAATACAAGTACAACTCTTTTACTCATTGAAGAAACATTCACTTTTCTGCCAAGTGAAATACAAACACTGAAAAGTGTGTGAGTTTTTAAACCACAATCGATCATATTTACAAGCCAAGTGAACCTTTACTAAGACATAGACCTAAGTTTCAGCAGATGCTTCTGAGAAGAATTTACATTTCAAATATTAAATCCACTGTCTGCAAATACCAGTTTTTCACTAAATGCTGTCAATCCATCTGTTTATTTTTAAAGATTCACTTGTTGGGATTAGAGAAATGGCACTTACAAGTGTGCACTGCTTTTGCAGAAGAGTTCAGATCCCAGAATCTGTGTCAGGCAGTTGTAAAGTCCAGCTCTCAGGAATCCTGCGCACTCTTCTGGTCTCTGTGGGGAGCTGCACTTATGTGCAAACACACACAAATACATTCATTTAAAATAAAATAAATCTTATTTAAATTAAAAAAAAATCACTCAACTTATGAGTGCCTCTGCAAATGAGATGTTATCACACACTAGAGAGTCAAGAAATTGTTGTGTAACTTGTGATTTCAGAAAATATCCAGGCACCCTGATAGCAAGGAAATGAACCAACCTCAATGTCCATCAACAGATGAATGGATAATGAAAATGTGGTACCTATAAAAAATGGAATAGTAACCAGCTATAATGAAAAATAAAATCACTAAATTTTCAGGAAAACAATGCACTTCAAAATTCTAATATTAAAGGAAGTAACCAAATTCAGAGAAAAAATAAAGAAAAACTTGCATGCTTTCTCTTACATATGGATCCTAGCCTATAATGCATACATGCATGAATTAAAAATATATAAGTGTGAGTATAGAATAAAGTTTAGACAAGAAATTAAGAGAGGGTAATATTAGGTGACAAGGAAGGACAGGATATTGGTAAAAGGACATATGCCGTTAACAAGCTACATTATTTCTTTTTTCTAGCTTCATAGTTTTCTTCTTTTTATGGTGGATAAGTGAATTCAACTTTCTTGGTATTGAAGTAACAAGAACTATAAATACACAAATGGATAGATAAATAAATAAATAAATTGATCACAAAAGTGTAAAATCCTAAATGAAGCAGTAATGCTTCAGAATGGCCATTCTAACTACGTAGCAGCTGATGGAGATGTCTGAAGTCTGGAACTGGCCTAGGGTGTGAGGAGGTTCCTTAGAACAGCTGTATGGTAGTTTTGCTTGTGAGTAAATCAGAAGTGTATGATTTGATTAATTTTTTATTATGTCTGGATTAATAGAAGAGCCACAGAGCCATAGAATCAGCATGCTGCTTGGCGAGTGCTACAATAAACTATTTCTTGGCCATTAGTGAGTGTGGAGATACAATGAGTTTAGGTCTAGACACTGTGTCTTCCACTTACAAGACATAAACATGATTCTTGATTGTTTTCTGGGAAGCAACTTTCCCCCTTAGTGTCTCCATCTCAAAACATTGTCACTGCAGTAGAATAGAGTGTACTAGCTCTCTTGGACACAAGCTTAAGAGAAATTTCAAATTCCTGGTCATTCCCTAAGATGAAAGTAACTATTTCAGACTGATAGCAATAATGAAATAGTACCTAGATTTTACTCTTCAACACATGTATGTTAACAACTTTTAGTCCCTATGACAACCCAATGATGTTATTATATTATTACCATGTCTTACAAAGAAATCTGTCACACAGAAGTGAGGTGATTAGAATGAATTCGCATACCTAGCCAGCAGATCAGAGTTCTTAAATAGACCTTTTGTCTCTACAACAATGTGCCTCATCATTAAATATACAAATTTATTTCCATGATATGTTTGTTATTCTTGGCATCAACCTCAGTGTCTGGGACTTGTCAGTAAATATCCCTAGTAATTTTCTCATAAAATTCAACTCATCTGGTTTACATTTTTTAAACTTCTTCCTCCATTGGAAAGATTTGATGCACAAAGGCAAAGTGAAATGAGGCTTGTAAGCACACCTGTAATCTCAGCACTGGGGAGGCTGAGGCAGGGGCATTTTGTGAATTCAATGCCAATCAAAGTTAGTAGTGATTTCAGTCTTTGCCTGGATAAATAGTGAGATCTTTTCTTAAAAAGTAAGCAAAGGAAAAACACATAGGAAAGAAGAAAAGAAGAGAGGGATGGACAGAGGGAGGGATAGACAGAGAGAGGGAGGCAGAAGGAAGAGATGGATAGAGGGAGGGATGGACAGAGGGGGCAAACGTCAAGACCTTAGTTTACTTTTCTATGAAAAAAATGTAATTCCAACCCAAACTGAAGATTTTTTCATGGTCCCAGTAGGAGTAGATAACTTAATAGTTTGAAAATTTGGTCCATAAGCCAGGCATGGTGGCACATGCCTAAGAATCCTAGCACTAGGGAGGCAGAGGCAAGTGGAGTTCTGAGTTCCAGGCCAGCCTGGTCCACAGAACAAATTCCAGGACAGCCAGGGCTACACATAGAAACCCTGTCTTGAAAAAACAAATAAGTATATAAATTTAGCTTATAGAGAGTGTGAGTCTCAGTCTTTGTGGGAGGTAGGGAAGTCTTTAGGTAAAAGAGGGGGGCACTTTCCCTGCTCTCCCTATAGAGCAAAAATGACCAGATTTCACTATTGTACTTATTGTTCTAAAAGACAGATTCATCACTTTTCATTTCAATAATCAATTTTCAAGGAAAGAATTTTATTTCTTAAAGTGAAATGCTATCAAGATATCAAGACTAAGACTTGATTCCTTTTCTTTTTATAAGAATCCTGAAATTCCAAGTTTTTGTTCACTTTAATTTATAACGCTTAATGCAAGGAATTCTTAATGACAACTTAAGCTAACTAAACAGAACTAGACAAAGGAGAAATCACATGGGGAAATCCTTGACCTTTAGTCTTTTTCTCTTCTGCATTTTAATTTGCTACCTGCAAACTCATATTTCCCTTTTCAGTGTTTGGAAAAGGAATTGTGCTTAATGGCACTTACCTTGGAGCATTCAAAAAAAAAAACATTTTTTAAAAAATTGTGTGGGTGTGTGCGCGTGCGTGCACATGTGCTCTGTGTTGTACCTGTGGGAGTGCAAGAATGCCCTCAGGTGACATCTTCACAGTCCACCTTATTTCAGACAGGCTCTTTCGTCCACTAATGTGTATGCAAAGCTCATGGGGCTGTGATTCTCCTGTCTCCAGCTCACATCTCACTCTAGGAGTGCTAGGATTATAAACACGTGCTAGTGTATCTGACTTTACATTGGTTCTGGGACCCAGCTCAGACCCCCATGCTTTCACAGTAAGTGTTTTGTCCACTGAGAAATTTCCCCAGTTCATTAAAAACCTTGCTTGTTTATATTGCCATAATTATAAAACTCTGGCTTTATATAACTCTTATTTAAAACTTCTAACATGTATAAATATTATTTCCATCCTTGTCTATAATGCTGTTACTTTATTTCATAGTTACTTCAATTTTAGATACTGTGGTCAAGTTATATAAGAAGGGACTGTGTTAAAGCAAATAAGGATGGAATGTTTATAAATATATTTAATAAACCTTTAGTACCAAGTAAGTACTCAGTTTTTAAATGCAAAATACAGTTTTCTATATAGATAATTCAGTAATGTTTTGGTTCTTTCTACAGAATTATTTTCTCATTTTTAAATTAACACAACCCTACCCATCTATATGCGTGATAGACAATTAAGAGTTACATTTTCTCTAGTAACAGGAAAGTAGACACATCTCTTTTAGAGTGACATAGTTTTTATTTTTTACTTTTTTATTGGTCAATAACATAAACACTCGTACTTTCTTCTCAGGTTTGCTACTCATGACAAGCATGTTCATGTGTTTACTCTCTGATTCTGTCTATGTTTCCTAACATCAAACAAAATACCAAAGCAATCTCTTCTGTATCACGTCAGATTGTTTTAAATTTCATGAGTGGGCCAGCAAGATGTTGCAGCAGGGTAAGGCTCTTGCCATCAGACCTGATTACCTGAGTCGGATTCCTGAACTTGCATACTTGGTAGAAAGAGAGAGCCAGTTCTCACAAGTTGTCCTTTAACCCCACACATACACTCTGGCCCACACATGTAAGCATAGACAAGATGAGTAAATAAATGAAATGTGAATTTTTTTTTTTTTTTTTTTTTTTTTTTTTTTTTTTGGTTTTTCGAGACAGGGTTTCTCTGTGTAGCTTTGCGCCTTTCCTGGAACTCACTTGGTAGTCCAGGCTGGCCTCGAACTCACAGAGATCCGCCTGGCTCTGCCTCCCGAGTGCTGGGATTAAAGGCGTGCGCCACCACCGCCCGGCCGAAATGTGAATTTTTAATTCCATATGTATTTTCGTAAATTGTAACTTTAAGACAATGAGTAAATTAACAATACAATGCTGATGTTTTTCCAGAACGCTGGTAGAAATAAATTTTAGAAACACTAAAATATTCTCATCTAACCCATAGCTGATGCTATTATTATTAGCGATAGATGTACAATGGTCTTAAATATTTTCATCAAAATAATGTGCCACAGCATCTACTCTAACATTACGTAAACAGGAGAACCTGAGTAACAAATCTTGGTTCTCTATGTACATAAAACAGGGGACCTATGGGTGGAGTTACTCACTCCTTACTACTGGCTGAGCTTCTA